ACGAATTATTAATTGCGTTTACCATGCTTGTATTGCAAGACATGATGAGGAACAGTAACCCCAAGTCGGTAGAGAAGTATGTGATGAAAAATGTTTCTGCCTCAAAAGATTGCTGGTATATAGATTTTTCCATATGTCATCTGTCTCACTCGACACTTGTGGTGCATGACACAAAGGACGGGAGTTGGAAGCATTTCAATCCAATAAGGCAATGGTCACCCGACAAGGCAAACATGCATTACAATGAAGCACTTATCCTGGTGATATGAACATTGAACTATATATAAAGTTGGCTGTTTTGTGTTGGATGTCAATGGGTTGACTGTATGTTGGGTTGGTTTCAGTGTGTGACAGAAAGACCATGTCTCGGGTGTCATGAAGGCCATATTGCACAAGGACAAGATGGACGAGATGAGAATTGTTGAAACTTTCAACCACACTTTGGAGGTTGTTGCAAACTGCCCCCAACAAAAGGCGGACTCATAAGTATCCCGAGTTTAATAATGTACATGGTACATAGTTTAATTTTTTTAGTGGGTTAAATGTTGGGTGACGATATTCACAATATATCATTTGCCACTTCTCCCCTATGCAGGTTAGATTGTGCAGTCATTGTTCGTGCTGTTATGCAACAGTACGTGTACCATGCTGACGTGGGACGTTCATTACAAGGTAACAATGGATGCGTTTTATGAGAGAACATGTTGAATGGCTTCGTCAACGATCTGGTCAAGGGGCTAAAAGGTTAATGATGTGTAGATAGTATGACAATGCCTTTTGTAGACCGCCCCGAACTCCGCTCTGCGCGCGAGGGCGCGAATTGTAGTTCTAGCTACTACAGTTCGGACTCCTGTTACGGTTCTGAATCTAATCTCACAAAGTGCAATGTAAGACTGATAAATCACCAAAGAGTCCAAATCCGGAAAATCGTTTTGGAAAGTCAATTTTAATCAAAAACCGCCAAACATGGACTGCTTTGCCAGATTTCAGAGTCGCTACCTAAATATTTTGTTTTGGGAAATTTAGAAAATCCTGACTCATGCCTAAGGCCACGTGTCCGTCATCATCAAAGTTACCTCGGCTCGGGAGCTTGGGTACAAGAGGGGAAGGTCCTGAAATGAGCAACCCCGCTGGTCCGATCAAAGATCGGCCTCTACTAACATGATATGTTGTTTTTGAAAACACATGCGTTCTTATCCCGGTTATTAATCTAACTTACTATGTGATGCGCACAACATACAAGTATAGACTAAATCACTCAAGTTGGAACAAAACATCTCATGTTTGTTTTTCGAAAATGGTTTGAAGTTTGCTACTCGCAAGTAGGTTAAGTCGCGGATTTGCCACCCTCAAGTGGGCTTAAAACATGATGATTTGCCACTTCAAGTGGGCTTAAAACTCACATTTTGATGAATTGCTCCAATTCAAGCAATGAAGCCTTCATCCACAGGCATTCATGCAATTAATCAATTAAGCAATTAGCCTCATAGCAAGCATGCTATCATGGCAACATACACACTTATGTAGCATGCTAAAGTGTAAAAGCTTACCTAGTACTCTGAGCCAAAACAAAAGCTATGTTAGAAATCAATGCATGACCCTAGCTATGTCAAGAATGCTTAATGCAAAGCATGCAAAATGCAACTAAGATAGGCTCGGCTATTCTAAGATGTCACGTGAATGTAACTTGATAACATGCATTCAAATTGGCATTGAAATACAATGCAGTTTGTATGATGTACCGAGCCCAGTGCATGCAAGACAGATGAATGATGAACGCATGCGAAGCATAAGGTATGCTAATTGAAATATGCACTAAACTAACCATCGAAAGCTGATAAGCAAAAAGGAGAAAGACGTGGGGTTGGAAGACATTCACACACTCACGCACACTTATTACAAAATTCTCCCTTTCGACGGAGGGTCCGAATAATAAGCTAACTAGCTAATCTAAGCTAATTAAACTAATTATTACATCACAAAACTAATTAACTACTCCTAGTTAACTAATTATTACAAAACAAATCGATTAGCTAAGCACGTTAACTAATTAAGTACAAAACTAAAGCATTAGCTAGCTAAGCAAAGCAGCTAAGTAAAGCAGTAAAAAGAGGTCCTCGGGGTGAGGGGTGCATGCATGCTCGGTCGTCTCGTTTGGAAATCCATTACTATGCCCCAACTTGCCTCTGTTTGCATTTGATCTTTGAACACTGCACAAACCTCCAAATAGCTTCTACTCCAACATGAAGACCTCCAGGAGGGCTGCCGACCATTTAAGGATGGTGTAGACCACCTGTAGACCACCTAAACATGCTGCAGACCAGAAAAAGTGGTTGGCCAGCTACTTTTTCTGGTCTACCGACCAAAAAATTCAGCCCAACTCCATTTTGCTGCAACAGAGAACAAGAAGGGGGACAACAATGTATTTGCAAGACATGTGAGCACAACCACCCTCCCTATCATTTCTTAAGCTCAAGGGAGTGTGGTACTCGACTCTCAGGCCACCAACCGAGCATCGCAATGGACGATGGCCGAGAAGCCAAGTTTGCACAATTGAATGTCAATGAATGCACAAATAACACATAAGAGCCTTAACCTCTATCATGCATGATCAAGAGGGTCAGCGACCAAGAAATGAGGCACGTTTCATCACTTCAAGTATGAAACGTCCCTCATTTCTCGTGTTTGGATCAACGCCCGATCCTAACATAATGCAATGCAACGTGATCAACCTATCAATGCTAATGGCATGCAAACACAATGTAATGCAACATAAGCATGCAAACACAATGCAATGCAACATGATCAACCTAGCAATGCTAATGGCATGCAAACACAATGCAATGCAACATAAGCATGCAAACAACAATGCAATGCAACAACATGCAAACAAGATGCAATGCAACAACATGCAAACAACATGCAAACAACATGCTATTCTACCAATGCTAGAATGGCATACATTGGATTCTATCATACAAACAATGCATGCATGGCATATTTGGAGACTAAAACATCAAAGCAAGTAAAGAGCAGCATACAAGGGGCATGCAATGCAATGCTCAATGGACTTAAACCGAATATGGACAGACCTAAATCATGCCAAAACAGTGGCCAGCATGCTCCGAAATGCTAGCATTAAAAGCAAAAAAATGTATGCTCATGCATTGGCCCATCAACTAAGCATAAGAGCACAACTCTTGGAAACACTCAAAGAGTGAAAAAAGTGAGAACATAGCAATGCTACATTGTAGACACCCCATTTTTGACTGTCCTCAAGACTTGGACGTCATCGTTTGAACACTCGATGATCATCCATGTTTGTGTTCGTTTTGAGTTTTCGAAAGTCTCGGTTGTGCGCCTTGCCGTAGGATCTCTCAACTTGACTATTTTGTGCTTCATTGTGGACCAAGGACTTGTGGTTTTTGCACCTAAGGGTAGGAAGTGGCTTGTTGGCTGACCCTTAACCCACCGGCCATGGCCTGAGGCCACCGGCCTTGTTTTCTTGCCACCGGCCAAATGTATTGGTCGATCGGAATTTTATTTGGTCGGCCGGCCATTGTTTTGGTCGATCGGCCACATTTTCTGGCCGAGGCCTTTTCTTTGCCTTTTTCAGGCATTGTGCATGCCAGCTGTGCCAGCTGGTGAGCACAGACTCTGCCCTCCATACACATGTATGGAGGGATTTCATCCTTAATCTTAGCTTCCCTTAGAAGCTTGGAATTGAATTTCCTATAAGAGGAGGGCTTCCCCTCCCTTTCCAGAGGTTCAGCAATCTAATATATGAGATATATATCACTCTCTCTCTGTATCTCCTCTCTCTCTATATTTGTGTGCGTAATAATGTTCTAAAGGGTGTTTTTGTTCATATTTTTGCACTAAGGCACCTAGTGTTACACTATCCTTTAGTTACTGAGGTGCTAAGGAGTTGTTTTCAGAGTTTTTGGGTTGGTTTTGATCAAAAGGAGGTATTGGAGTTGGTGTTCTTGAGGTGTTCTTCAAGGGTGAGAAACTACTCTTTTATTCCCCATTTTTGCTTAAGCTTTTAGCAATACTTGCATGCTGCTTTAAGCTTAGTGTCCTACATAAAAAAGTTTTGTATTTTCACGATTGAGATGTTTCATTAAGGTCAAATTTGTGTTGGGGGTTGTCTACCCCTGCTTAGGCCTTGTCACTACTACAAATAGAGATAAAGATCACACTTTTTTTGTGTGATGTATGTTTTTTAATCACACCTTTTAAGTTTTATTAAAGTGTGGTCTTTGAGAGTGTGATTAAAAGGGGTCATTTTTAATCACACTTTTTAAGTGTCATTAAAAAACACTTTCATCACATTTTTTAAGTGTAATTAATAATATTTAGATCACACCTTTTAAGTGTGATTAAAAACATTTAGATCACATCTTTTAAGCGTGATTAAAAACATTTAGATCGCATCTTTTAAGTGTGATTAATAACTAATAAAACCTGTGATAAAAAAAAAAAGAATTTGGCATATTTGAAGAATAATCAATATTATTTTTGTACGCACATTTAAAGAAGGTAATACACACTATATACTATATTTTGAATCACAACCAAATGAAATAACGTCATATATTTCATAAATGAAAATTAAATATTCAAAAGTATATACAAAGAAATTAATAAAAAAAATTTAACTGTGATTACATATATTAAAAAATAAAAATAAAACTTTAAAAAACTAAGTTCTTGAATTCTTTGACCATATTTTACATCTCTCCAAGAAATTTCTGACCTGAAAAATAAAAAACTAAATTAATTTAGAAACAACTAGAAGCATATGAATAAACTTTCCAATTAATTTATAAACTTACATTTAGATCACACCAAAAATAATATAATTTATCCAGTTGTTAAACTGCCCCCAATCCTTTCCCCACAACCACCAAAAATGACATAATTATTTTGATTCTCCACACAAATATCAGTAAAACAACATCACAAAAGAAGACAATACAATGCAGTAAGGATCACATAAATGATAAAATGGAGTATTATATGGACAATCAAAATCATATGATATCAACATATAACCCACTAAAAACTATAAAACAAATAAGAATCAATAAAGCTTATTGGTCTTAAAAGTAGAAACCACATAGCCTGAATAATTACAAATTGGTATGGGAGCAGTCTAAGTAGAGGAAATACTTTGACCATATTTTGCATCTCTCCAGGAAATTTCTGACCTAAAAAATAAAAACACAAATTAATTCATAAACCACTAGAAGCATATGAATAAACTTACTATTTTTGTATAGACTGTTCTTGTCTTACAAAAGACAAAATCGGACATTTTCTCATCACGCTGACTCTTCATCCCCTGCATCAATAAAAAAGGAATAACGACTTTGATTGTCACTAGTATAAAATGTTTGTATTACCATATATAAATATGACATATAGGGTCAAAATAAAGAGAAACATTATTGTGATAAATATTGTTGTGGTATAGAAAACTAGAGAAAGACATGAATCACTAAATCTGACAGTTAAATTGTGTAGACAAAGTCCATTTATAGCACTCAATAAGAAAATCAACTCAATTTTGGAAGACATAATTAGTAGACATAGTGTGTTCTCTCTACGATAACAAAACTTCTCAACAGTATAAATGCATCTTCACTTCATTAAATGTTGGGCAGCTTGCAAGCAATAATAATATTGTAAATCAATTTACATCAATCTAATTTCAATCGATTTCACCATAAAATATATATATTTTATATACAAAAGAAAAGAAAAGGCTCACTTGTTCTATGAGCCCTTGTGCCCGCTCCCCATTTCTTGGAACACTTGCTAATTGACCAGCACAACCCTTCCATTGCCTTCATAAATTTTTCCAATCAAAACCAAAGAAAGTAAACATTTTATTTTTGGAAAATAGAAAATAGAGAAGAAAAAATCCTTTGTTGCAAACAAATGGGAAAATAAAAAAATAAAAAAGATTAAAAATTATAATTTAGGTAATCTAAACAATGCTAATGTTTAAATTATAGTCAAAATTATCACAAAATGCATACTCAATGTACTCATTCCACATAATAATTATCACCATCAAAGATGATGTACTAAAGATAAAATACGAAAAAGAAAACACTTCAAGTTTATCACGCTAATTCAAAAAGATCTCCGAACCTCGGGATTTTCTTGAAGTTCTGATGCATCAATGACTGTTGGGGACTTTCCCAATTCACAAAGCTCGCTGTATATGGAGACCAAGTCTCCCAATCCTAGCTCGAGAAACGATGGGGGCACAACCTTGTCATAAGATGGCTGACAACAGTCAACAGATTAAAATTAAGTCATGGAAATGATGAAAATCAAAACCGATATATAGATAGTCAATAGGATATGAAATTAATATATTTTTAAAATTTTCAAAAATAGATAATTTATAGGAAATGATACAATATAAAGGAAAAACTATTTAAGGGGCCTATCATCTAAGATAAATGACAAATAGAGGTTACAAAAACAACTTACCAAAATACTAAGTGGATTTCGTATTAATATGAAGTGCTTTCCATTTTTTATCAAATCATCAGACAAACCAGGTATGCATTGTTTTGAGATATGCTGTAAAGAGGAAAAATGAGAACAATTTTGTGAAGTGATATAGTTTGAAAGTGAATCAGTTCCTGCACAACAGATTAGCATGTGGAAATGACTGACATTTTCTGCATGCAGCCAGTAAAATGAAATCTTGGGATTAGCTGAACTACATATAATTTTACTAAAACCAACCATAACTGAGACCAATGAAAGCTCACCAAAGTTTAGAAAAACTCAGGATTTTATTTACTAACAAATTTTGTAAACATATTACACTTTCAGAATTTATAAAATTAAGATGCTGTGGTAGTATTATGATTGATTTATAAATCATGAACTCAAGGAAATTTATATGACCAGTTATCAATCTTTATCCAAATATGCACACGTTAATGTACCTTCTGGGAAATACAATTTAGAAACATAAGAGTTAAAACACTGTGTATTTACTTCAATTGGTGATCCCCAAATGTGTATCTAATAGACTGTAATTTGGCTGACTTTTCTTAGGCATCATACTTTAGTAATAATAAAGGGATTCAAATGATCAGAAATTTGCTAACATAAGAGACTGAGTTACAGCTCCATCAAAGGCTCTAATATTTAGTCCAAAAAATTTAGAAAATATTGAAACAAGTTCAGGAACATAGGCATTTTGGAGTTGCTTTCCTCTTCATCAATTTTAGAAGGAAACGATAGTAGGCATAGGTGGAACCTGAATACAAAGAAAATTACCTACGCAGTTCATTCACAGAGAAGAGTATTTGACCTTCTCAAAAGCCAAGCTAAATTCTGTCAGGAGATCAATGCTGGATTTTTCCATTTCTCTTCTCAGAAGAATTCTATCAGGTTTATGTTATCAGGTATGTTTTATGTCTCTGCTCAAAGAATCAGTAAGTCATCCACTTAAGCACTACAGAGTCTCTTCCACTATTTTCTTACTTTTGTCCTTTGATCTGGCTCTTTTAGGGTTGTTTATTGGGAGTTACATGGTGCAGTAGTATTTTCTTTAGCAATTTTGAAGAAAAAAATAATAATAATTTAACTTGCTTTTAGTAAATTAATATAACTCATTAAAAATAATATTTTTTAGATAACAATATAGTACTTCTATTTTATTTTTCTCTATTTTTTGGCAAATATCTACTTGTCTGGTCAAGTATTAAGAATCGTGTGTTGTTGATTTAGACCTACTTCCATCCGTTAAAGTTTAAAGTTTTCTACTATAGACAAGTCCTTTGAAAACTTAAAAGTTGTAATTAAATATTTAAACTAAAATGGTTAGTTATGAAAATATTTTATACACATCTTAACTCCACTCTGCATTTTATATACATTATGTATTGAGGATTATACAATTTATACGCTTTTTATCTTTCAAAGAACCTTACTTTTGTAATTTCAAGGACTATACACTGTTTGGTGTCATGTTCTCACAAGATATTTGTGTTTGCTATAACTATATTTATTTTTCTGCCCATTTTTATAGATGTTAAAAGTATCTTATGATACACAATATGATACAATACTCAACTCAAAAAAATAGAAAAACAATACTCAATTCGTATCCCATTTTGACAACTATGGAAATGATATTTACAACCAAGATTTTTTCCACATACTTTCATCATATTCTTTTCCTCATTGTTTTCCATGTTAACAACACAAAGATTGATGATTTCCCTTGCATTTCCTTTTCCTTTTCCTTTTCCTCAAAAAATTGATGAACCAAACAGAGGATTAGTAATCTTATCCGAGGATGGACAATCATGAATAATTCTGCAGATTGACAAAATTATTCCAAAGCATGATTTTACTAAAGAAGAAAAATAGCACATAATTTAGCAATAGGTCATGAAACATGAGCGATCTTGAGTAATTGATAGAGAAGCTTATGGTTACCTTACAGAACTGATATTTCTTTTCTCATGGGCCAAAAATGATATCTTTCACAACTTTATTCCCATCAGATTCCTATTCATGTCATACAATCAATTCCAACAATATGAGATACAAAGATAATGAGAAAAGTACACAGTCTAATGTCAAATAAAAATAATAAAACCAGTAGTGAAAAGCAAATATATAAAATATCAAAACAAAATATGCAGCCTTCAATTGGAGACCAACAGCTCTCTGAGATCAGTCTCCGACATCGCTCTGGTCATTTTCTTCCCCAATTCGTCGATCGGTGAAACTAAGACCATCGAGACCGATCGAGTCTTTGGGATTTGAAAAGAAATCTATGTCTCTGGGGATGTTGATGTCTCTTTTGAATGTGGAAGCCATGAATTTAGAACTGGATTTGATGCAATTCGAAGAAGCATTGTAAGTTAAAAACCCTAGTTCTAGTTTTGAGATTTGTGTATCGACATGTACAGATTAACAAACACAGAGAGTGAGTGTGAGAGTCGATCGGTGTGCCAAAACAAACACAGATTAACAGACAGATTCATATTTACCCGTGTGTGAGTCGATCGGTGCACCATAGAAAAATTGTGTCATCTGAGCCGTCCACATCTATATACAATCAAGTAATGATTTGCAACAGTTTCCATCCATAAAAGATATAATCATACTTAATTAAAAAGTGACATTAAAAATAAATATAATCACATGTTAATTAGAATGTGGGATTAAAAATATATATATATATATAAATACACTTAATTGAAAAGTAACATAAAAAATAAATATTATCACATTCAATGAAATAAGTATGATTAAAATATTAATTTAATTTTTTTATCACACTTCTAATAAAAGTGAGATATTTTAATTTGTTAAAGTATGATCTTTAATTATCTTTGTAGTAGTGAAAAGACAAATTTGAGTGAGTAACTTCAATGGTGGTTCGGAGTTGTGATTAAGAAAACGAAATAAGGCTTCGTTTAAGAAACATAAGGCAAGGAGAAGAGACCTGTGTATTTGTGAAATTCAATCTTGTTGGAAATGGAAAGAGTTGTCCTTTGTCATTCATGGGTGTTGAATAGAGGCGCGAATTTGGGAATTGTATATTTTATATAAAATCAAATTGGAATAGTTTATACAATCACACCTATTTAGGGAGTGTGATTATATATATAACTTATTTGAAAAGTGTGATTAAAAAGTAGTAATGTATATATAATCACACTTTAATTAGAAGGTGTGATTAAAAAATATATAAATAATCACACTTAATTGAAAAGTGACATAAAAAATAAATATTATCACACTCAATCAAATTAAGTGTGATTAAAATATCAATCTGATTTTTTTCATCATACTTTCAATAAAAGTGAGATATTTTTTTTTATCAAAGTGTGATCTTTAACTATTTTTGTAGTAGTGTGTTTTGCCTCATTTTGTGCCTCTTCCTTTTGGCTTTGGAACCCTTTTGTTTTGACCTTCTCACCACTGAAATCCAGAGGATTTTTAGTGGTGGAGAAGTGGTTTTGAGGTCTTGAATAGGGGACGGACACCCCCTTCTCCTTTTGTCTCATTTGCTTGCATTAAGGGCTCATAAGGGTAGCATGTTTGTTTAGCTTTATTTAGCTCCATTTCAGAGGATATTTGGTGTTATTTGGTCTTGCTACACCTCTGTTTTGGGTTGGTTTGCTAGTCTCTTGCATGCACCACACACTTGCCTTGCAATCCTCCTATTTACCTAAACATGCATCATGCATTTAGACCATCATGCTTACATGCTTTGACTTAACTTTGAGAAGTTTTTAGCCTTGTCTCACCATGTATAAGCTCTGTTTGGTGTTGTCTTGGTCATGCTTGTCATGTTTTGTATAGTCACCATGCATTCTAGCTTGTTAACTTTGGGTGTGTGAGTCGTGAGCATGCTTTACTTGGGCCGTTTCAGTGACTTGGCATCATTTATCATCTTATTTCAGTCCATGTTCCACGCTTGTATGCTTGCTGTCACACCCCAAACCCGCCCCTAAAAGTTTGGGCATGACCACTTCAGAAACGGACACTTAACCTGTTATATATATAATATATGGGGCCTGAACGGAAGCATTAAATATCAAAATTTGACAATAGAAGCAAACTCCATTGAGCTACTACTATCATGCCAGGATCACAAACTTTAAACAGACAAATAAAATCTAAAACATACACCTGAATATTGGATATATACGCACATATATACAAGCCCAGCTCTATAATTGGGCATACACCAAAAACGTTTCGGAAGAAAGTATTATACACATTTCAACCTTGGGCCAACAACTAGAGTGCAAAACCAAAGTTCGTCAAAACTTCATGAAAATAAGAGCCGCTTCTCTTAGGCTTGGACATGGAAAGGTTGACCAAAGAGGACAAGCGTCATGGTTTAGGACTGACCACTTGGTTGGTTACCTACAGAAATAGACATAACATAGGGTGAGCCAAGCTCAGTGAATAGTATGATACATAAATGCACAATTTAAACATAATACATAACAATGCATAAATAAATGCAAAGATCATGTAGTTAATCTGTTCCTGTTTTCATTTTAAATGGCCTTAGGCCCCAATCGTGAGTCATAATGGTTTTAAGCCCTTGAACACATTAACATTAAGCTTTTAAACATAATGGCATATAGCCCTTGAACATATGGCATGGAGCCCTTAAACATGGTGGCATATAGCCCTTGTACATATGGCATGAAGCCCTTGTCAGAATGGCATTACAGCCCTTGAACATATAGATATATGAACTCAAGAGGTGTCTCACACGGATTCTAGAGGTGACTCACATCGTAGCACTTAGTTCCGTGTAGCACTTTGCTTCATTTCATAACAACTTATACAGATGGCCATGAACCTCATAATTTTCACATATGTATGGACTCAAGAGGTGTCTCACATGGATTCTAGCGGTGGCTCACAACGTAGCACTTAGTTCCAAGTAGCACTTTGTTCCATACCAATAATTAGCAGGTCTTACAGACCAAACCATACATAAATGTCATACCATAAACGGAAATAAATTCATACATATGCATTATGCTTGAATCATTAACAGAAATCAGAATTCATACTTACTTATACTTAGCCTTTTAATAGCGCTGGCAAATCAATAAAAAGCATTCTTGTTAGCTCCATAAAGAAATTCCTCAACATTGTGAACTTGTAGTACACTTGAACTTGTACATATATAAGCACGTAACGTAGCTTGTAACATACTTACGCTTGTATCGTACTTAAACTTGTAACATACTTAAGCTTGTAACGCACTTAAACTTGTGACATACTTGAACTTATAACGTGCGTATACTTGTAATATACTTGAATTTATAACATACATGGACTTATAACATACTTGGACTTGTAACATACATGAACTTATAACATACTTAAACTTGAAAACTTGTAACACATTTAAACTTGTATATACTTGTACTTGTAACCTTACTTAAACTTGTACATATTGGAACTTGTCACACATATATAAAATTGTAACATTCTTGACTTAGAGCATACGTAAACTTATAACAGACTTAAACTTAGAACATACGTAAACTTGTAACTTAATTATTTGAACCACAGTATTATTACCCCTGGGTAAGGGCCTTGTGCTAGAGATGATGTGAATACCTCTACATATATGAATAATCATTAAGTTAATAGAAAACAGAGCTTTTCTTGTTATATCATGTCATTATCATGCACTTAACAAAATAGAATGATTCATATCCTTATGTGGGTTGCATACTAATGGCAAACCTTTACATTCCTATCATAGATTCTAAACGTTCTTGGGTCCCTTCGTAACATAATCTTAAATCCACACAACATCATTCTTCAAGGACGAACATAAGTTCCACTTATTCTTTAAGAAATAACATACTATACTGATAAATAACAAAGGCTAATATTCGTCATTAACGGAATATAAGGATTCCAAAATCACACCGACGTACGCAAATCTTTCAGCATTCATATAAGTTCACATTGCTCCCCAATTGTCATAAATGTTTGAATAATACTTCCAAAGAACAGAGCATTAGTGACAATAATTGTCAATAGTATATAAAATGTACATTCTTGTACTACTACTCACAGTGCTACAACGGAGTGCTTGCCCCTCCTGGAGTGTGCCCTATACACACACATAACTTAGTCATTAGTTCTTTTGCTTTCTTAATTCCTTTCCTGCTTTAGTTTACTTCGAATGAATTTACAGGCATCTTAGGGACATCAAACACAAATTCTAAAAATACCAGAGGGTTAAGCACGTAAAATCGAGCAAACAAATTTTTGCAGCATGGGCCGCACGTGCGGCTGTGAGCCCCGCACGTGCGGCAGGCCTTCCGCACGTGCGGCAGTGATCCCCGCACGTGCGGCGATTCCAGCAGTGTAGTCCGAAATTTTCCCAAATAAAACCCCATTTTTGTAAGCTTGCATAAGGCTCCAAATAGGCCTTTTAATTGATAAAGTGTGGTCCAAAAACATGTAAATAAAGACTATAAGCATGTATTAACCCAAACATAAACTAAATCCTTAATCTAACATTACCAATACATGACTTCAAACTTGAGTATCACAAGATAACATGCTTAGAAGCTTAATCAAATCACAACCTTTCAAAATTCCATCCTTGGATTCAAATTCCTCACATAGCACACTTAAATTAGGTTGTAAAACAACCAAATGATGAGAACACCCTCTTCAATCAAACATAAATCATGAACAATTGTCCATTACAACCCTAGATCATCAAACATAAATCATAAACAACTCTTCTTCACAATTGAAAGGATAATTCTCATATATACTAAATTTAACATACCTTAAGCTTGATCTCCTAATTTAACCTCAATTTCCTTCCTTGTTGAACCTTGTCTTTGTTCTCCTTTCCCCTTCTTTTCAACCCTTATTCTCTCCAAAAGATGCCTCACGTTTTCTTTTTTTTTTATCAAGGCTCAAGAGATTTGGGTGTATATATTTACAAATAATGACATATAAGACAAAACTTAATCGCTTAATCATTCCAAAATTGAAATTTCGTAAACATGCTTAATATTACTTAAAAATTATGCTGATCACAGATATATAATCAATTTCAGATAATTAAGCCGTTAAGGCTTCCAATTTCTGCTTCAAACATTCTACATGTAACAGATACTTTTCTTGTTCAACAAATAGACATCATTAAACATGAGATTTACTTACTTAACCGTAATTCCACATGGAATTTCACAATAAGCATATAAATATACAGAATAATGGAACTGAAAGTATACCAGAATCATAGACGAGGGTCGGGTTATTACACTTGCATTTACTATCCTTTCAATGCTTTGAAGAGTGGGTGTCTTATGCTCCATGTTTAGGTCATTTG